GGTTTAGAACTCTGAGAGAGGCTTAACCGTTAGGTTAGCATTTCAGTCCCCTGTGGACTATGCCACAAAAGTTCCATGCAAAGTCCAAGAGGTAGAAAATAAAAAGATATCTTCAGCATTTTTCAAAGATGGAAAACTGAAGGGAAAAAATTCAAGCTTCAAGTTGCATTAGTGCAAGATTCTGTGATGTAGAAGAAGCATCAGTGTAGCTAACTATACAACAAAAAATAATTTATTGATATTTAACCTTTTCAGAGGATAACATAGGATGAAGAACCAATGATATTAAAGGAAGAGTCCAAGCTACACTTAAGGCATTGGTGAAAAAAAAAACAAGGCTCCAAGAATTGATGAAATACCATTTGAGGCATTTCAGTAAATGAATGAAACATTGAAAATGCTCACTTGTCTGTCCCAAGAAGTGTAGAAAACATCTGTCAGGCTGACCAACTGGAAGAGATCCATATTTGTGCCAGTTCCTAAGGTGATGCAACAGAATACAGAAATTAGTGAATAATATCACATGCTTATACAATTATTCTGTTCAGAATTGACTGTGGCATCATGGGGTACTACCATTTATTTACATGCAGAATTCACAAGAAGACATGGGGTCAGGGATATCACTGCAGATGTCTTGCTTGACTAAAAGCAGAGAACACCAAAGAGATATTTAGTTGTGTTTTATTGATTATGAAGTCATTTGACTGAATCTTGGCAAATTATCAGTAATACTGCAAAGTATGGGAATTCTAGAACACTTGTTTCCTTTTTTTCCACTTAATTGTTTTCATGGAGAACTTATTAATAGAACAAGAGGCAGTTGTTTAAACAGAACAAGGAGGTACTGTGTGATTTAAAATCAGCAAAGGTGTATGCTAGGATTGTGTCCTTTCGCCTTATATATTCAGTTTACTGAACAGATCACCTAAGAAACTGAGCTGTGTGAAGAATATGGTATCAACACAGTTTGCTAACAATCTGCAGTGTGCAATAGTGCAGCTTTGCTTTACTCAGAGTGAAGAGGAGTTGAAGCACCTAATGATGATGGAGATCAAAGGCTATGGTCTTCAGTGTAGATACACCACCTCAGCATAGAGAAAATGAGTCTGCAAAATTAGATCAATAAGTGACAGCATGATAAACACAGAAAAGATGGAAATTTTCAAAGATTTAGATAGAGAATATAAAGTCCAGCCTAATTTTACCTCAGAGGGTCATTGTTCCAGCTCTTGTGTTCTTTTACTTTATTAATTGTACTAGATACTCAGTGTGCTGAGCCCTTCCTATTACTGGAATCTCTTGACTCTGAGAATTTGTTTCCTATTTCTGCACTGAATTTCTTTTCTATTTCCTTCTTCCTGGAACCCTTATTGGTGGAATATTGGACCTGCTGGGTTGATTATCTTTATGTCCTCATTTTCTCCATATCATTCTTTCTGCAATACTCTAATGTCTAATTGTTTTATTGCATTTCTTTGTTTTGAAAACTTAATATCCTCCCCCCCCATTCTTTTTATATACCAAATTATTCTTGACTTATGTGGTACAATAAATTGTTAAAGGATACAAATGTCAATGGATTATTTATGTATTTATTTATTTATTTATTTTTGGGTTAATGTTAAATTCTTTCTGATTTTTCATTATCTTTTCTCCATATTCCTGTCTTGTTTGTCTTTGGTTTATTCCTTTAATTTCAAAGGCATCCCTCAAACAGTGATTCTTGGGCTGCAAACACTGTCCCCTCTGGAGCTCTGTATAGATGTGAAGGACTAGTCGATGACTGATGACCCTGAATATAGACTTTCATTTATAGTCCATTTATTTAATTTCTATTTCATTTTCTGTCTCAGGTCTTTACTCCAGTTCTTCCCCACATCCCAAGTATATGGAAATCTCAAGTCTTTCTGAGTTGTGTGATCAAGCCAACCCTGTTTGGCAGAAAAATGTTCTATAGCTAGCACTCTTAAACTGAAACTTAAATGTACATCATAAATTACCTCTTATTTATTTTTTGTCTTCCAGTTTTGTTCATTTATTTGTTTTTGGTTCATCTACTCATGACCTAAAACCTATAGCTCTTTGTGAGTTTATATATTTTTAAATTTCTTAGTAGTCTTTGTTATATGATAACTAGGTTAAACTACATTTTCCAGGCTTTGATTCTTTTTAAATTGTATGTTCATAATAAGAGGAGGCTACAAGGGATATTTTTGTGTACTTAACATGATATCCTTAGGTAACCAAAATACTAAACCTATAACCTAAGAAGATACAAAGCCTCTTTTTTATCTGTAAGGTGGAATTATTCTTCTTATAGATGGTTCACACTTTTTTTTAATAATCTATAACTTAAATGCAGAGATATTAAGTACTATTATAAATGTTTTTTATGTTATATAAGAAAAACCTAATAAGAAGTTATTAAAAGCATATTTGTGGTCTAATTAAGGAAGAAATACTCTTAACTATTATAGATCTTACTTTTACAACTGTTTACTTGGTCTAACTGTTATAATTACCTTCTTCCACTACCCATTCCTTATTCCCTTTGCCCTAAGCAAATGGACTCTCAGCTTGTCATGATTCTTTGCTTGGTGGACTGATCTAAATCATAGTTCCTGAAGGGCCTCAGGACTCTTAAGAGTCCTACCTGAATTGGGTTATTGTAGTTTTCCTTTAACTTTAATCATGGTGCATGAGATATCTTACAGGATCTTCTTTATTATAGATACACCTCTTCTTACCTCTGTTGTTCTTGTTGTCATGAGATATTGTTGAGTTGGTGCCAACTCATAGTGGCCCTTTTTACAACAGAGCCAAACAGTACCCAATCCTGTTCTTTTCTCACAACTGGTGCTGTGTTTGAGCCCATTGTTGTAGCCACTGTGCCAATCCATCATTTGAAAGTAAAAATCAGTCACCTAGAGCTAGTGCATGAACCCTCCTTTCTTTGCCTGTCAATTCAGAACTCAAAATGAACAAGTCTCAACACCCAGTTGACTAGAATCATTATTGTATCTCCTTGTAGATCCTTTCCTCCCTTTGGAACAAAGGGACTTAGATCTCCAAAGCCTAAAGTCACAGGAATGAAAAGCAAAAATCTTACTGAAGTGCAATTTACTACTCTTCACTAATATCCCAATCAAATCAAATAAAATCTATTTCTCACCAAAACTCTTAGTCTAAAATTTCCATTCTTTTATCATTTTAATCCCACCGACTTTTGAATCTTAAAAATTTTTACCTCTTTCACATTCACCACTTTTTTCTCTACCTCTACATCCTGTCATTCACTGCCTGCATGTCCTCCTATCCATCCATTACTTTCTCTGTAAGAATAGTCTTAAAAATTAGACCATACTCTAGGACTCTTAAGTGTTTTTAAGGGAATTCCTTAATAGTTGAATAGTTACTGTAACAGATCCAAAATTACATGACTTTTAACATATTGAAACTTTTTGTTTTCTTTTAGGACTTAGATAAACACTGTGTAGGATCTAGAAGCCATATTCCTTATGATTTGTTAATTTGCCCTGTCTCCATTTGTTAGTCTCCATGTCTAATTTGGAGACCTTAGCTAATTGGTCCAGAATGCTTCATCACCGCATTAGAATTATAGACAGCATGAAAGAGAAAGATGTACCCTTTTCTTTAAGGGTGTAGCCCAAATGGTTGTATAAATAATTTTTACTCAGTCTAAGCTGTCCTGCTGAAACTAAGGGAGTTCTATTGTAGAAAAAAGGGGAGTGGAAATGGAAGGGTCCTAGCAGTTTCTACCACATAGGCAGACCAGGTCTTCTGGAGATTCCCTACCTCTTTACCTTTTCATCTAGTACACTGGCTTTTAATACTTCCTCTTTCTCACCCCTTTATCCGTTATGACCCTTTTTGCTTTAGCCATGCCAAATTATTTGTATCACCAAACTTGCTATGCTGCTATATATTTCTCTGCCTTCCTCATGCTTTGGCAGTGTGAGATGCCTTTATAACACTTCTCCTCATCTCTAACAGTCACAGTCTCAGAGATTTTATCTTTCAAGACTTAATGTAAGCATCTTCTATTTCTGGACAGCACCCCAACCCACGCTGGTAGAATTGACTATTCTTCCCTCTGTTGTTAATGTACAAAGATAGACTTTAGTCTTTGCAATTATTTATCCTTAAATCCTCTTTTTGCTGTGTTGTTAATTCTTTGGAATCATAGCTGATATTTTATGTGTATATCCATTGGATTTGGTGTGGTGCCTGACAAATGGAGTGTGTGCACTAAATATTTACTAAAGGAGTAATGTGAAGCCTTAGCAAAAACTATGCCCAGACTTTAAAAAAAGTCAAAAGATACTTTTACAATATGCTCCTGTTTTTTTAAACTTTGCTTGATTAGTCAAGATCTTAATGCCAGCTCTAGCAAGCAATATTTGCAATAATTTTACTTTTTCTTATTGTTTCATGTTTAGTTTTTAGTTAGATTTAGTAGTAAATCTGACTAAAAGTACTCTGAAAGTTACTGATAGAATTCCCTCCCCCTTGGTTTAAAATAATGGGACTTTGTCTTCCAAGGCAGAATGCTTATAATTACTATTCCTCTATTTGTGGCAAAATCTATATAACAAAACATTTGCCATTTCAGCCATTTTTTTTGTGTGTACATTTCAGTGGCATTGTTTTCATTCCTTGTGTTGTACAACCATCACCATACTCCACTTCCAAATGTAATGGCTTTTAAACAATTCAGTGTAACAATGACTTGCTACAGGATGTGTGTCCAACCAAGTAAGCTAGGTAATACTCATGTGATTTCCAGAGCTTGCCCTAGAACTTTGGACCCTGCCATTTTAGCATACTGATTCTAAGTTAGAAGTGACTCAGGATTTGTTAATGACTGAGTCATTATTGTAACAGATTTTCAGGCACAACTGCCTTAAATATTCTTACATGGAGAATATATTTTCCTGCTTTACTGTCTTGAGTAATATCTTTTGTTTTACTTGTAGATTTGATGGTCCTCGAAGATTTGAGGATTTAGGGTCAAGGTGTGAAGGACCGAGACCCAAAGGGCCTCGTTTTGAAGGAAATCGCCCCGATGGGCCAAGACCCAGATATGAAGGTCACCCAGCAGAGGGCACTAAAAGCAAATGGGGAATGATTCCCCGGGGGCCAGCATCTCAATTTTATATTACCCCCAATACATCCCTGAGTCCTCGACAGACTGGACCACAGTGGCGAGGCCCCAAATCAGCTTTTGGACAGCAGCATCAACAGCAACTTAAGTCACAAGCAGAACCTCTTTCAGGAAGCAAAGAACCATTAGATACCAATAGTAACCAACAGAAGAATTTAAAAATGCCATCATCTACATATTCCATTACTGCAGATATAAAGGATACCAAGACAGCTCAGTCAAATGAGAATCTAAGCGACTCTCAACAAGAGCCACCTAAAAGTGAAGTCTCGGAAGGACCCGTAGAGCCTTCTAAATGGGATCAGAATTCTCAAACTATGGAGACTCAGATGGACAAAGTCCAAGCTGTTACTCAGCCTGTAACTCTTGCAAATAAACCTGTACCTTCTCAATCTACTTTTCCTTCAAAAGTTGGGGAGCTGGAGGGAGAAGGCGCAGCAGTAGTGACATCATCATCATTAATTGCAGATAATGATTTTAAATGTATTGATACTGATTTGCCTCATTCAGAAAACAACCAAGATAAAGGACTGCCTCCACCAGATAGCAAAGATGTTCGATTAGAAGGCAGTCGGGACAATAGTTCATCTTACAGGGGCCCTGGGCAAAGCAGAATGGAAGACACACGGGATAAAGGTCTGGTAAACAGGGACCGAGGCCAGACAGTCAGCCGAGGCCCAGGGTTAATCAAGCAAGAAGACATTCGTGATAAGATGATGGGTAGAAGAGAAGACAGTCGAGAGAAGATGAACAGGGGTGAGGGCAGTCGAGACAGAGGGTTGATGAGGCCAGGAAGCAATCGGGAGAAAGTGCCAGGTGGTCTGCAGGGCAGCCAGGACAGGGGTCAAGCTGGTAGCCGAGAAAGGGGCCTACCTCGGGGGCCCAGCAGTCAGGAGAGAGGACCCCCTCGAAGGGCTGGCAGTAGGGAGAGAATACCACCCCGAAGAGCTGGGAGCCGGGAGAGGGGACCACCTCGAGGGCCTGGCAGTAGGGAAAGGGGACTAGGAAGACCAGAATTCGGTCGTGAGAGAGGTCCTTTCAGACCAGAACCAGGAGATGATGGGGAAAAAATGTATCCATATCACCGAGATGAGCCCCCTAGGGCTCCATGGAACCATGGAGAAGAGAGAGGGCACGAAGAATTCCCATTAGATGGTAGAAATGCTCCAATGGAACGAGAAAGACTTGATGATTGGGATAGAGATAGATACTGGAGAGAGTGTGAACGTGACTATCAGGATGATACACTAGGTCCATATAATAGAGAAGACAGGTTTTCAGCACCACCACCTCGCTCTCATGATGAAGATAGACGAGGCCCATGGTGGGATGATTGGGAAAGGGAGCAGGACATGGATGAGGACTATGGTAGGGAAGTGGACAGGGACTTGAACATGGATGTGGAACGGATTGGAAGACCCATGGATATGTATAATAGAAATTTGGATAATGAATGGGACAGAGATTATGGGAGATCACTGGATGAACAAGAAACACAGTTCCATGAACGAGATATTCCATCAATTCCATCTTTACCAAACCTCCCACCTCTTCAACCTTTGGATAGATATCGGGATGATAGATGGAGAGAAGAAAGAAATCGGGACCATGGGTATGATTTCCGTGATAGGGGTGAGTTGAGGATTCGAGAATATCCAGAAAGAGCAGATACATGGCGGGAAAAACGAGATTATATTCCTGACAGAATGGACTGGGAAAGAGAGCGGTTGTCAGACAGATGGTACCCTTCTGATGTGGATAGACATTCCCCCATGACGGATCATATGCCCCCCTCACATCATTCTTCTGAAATGATGGGGTCGGATGCAAACTTAGACTCTGACCAAGGCCTTGGAGGGGTAATGGTTCTCAGTCAGAGGCAGCATGAAATCATTTTGAAGGCTGCACAAGAACTGAAAATGCTTCGGTAAGTTGACTACTTCAGATAATTACTTTTAGTCAAAATCACATTCAAACTGCTCTTTTTATAGTGATGTGATATATTTGAGTGGGATCCTTTTACTTCAGTTTCTTATCACATTCTTTTAATTTCTAATTCTGGTCATTCAGTGGTGTTTTAGGATTTGGATAGGTATTTAGGAATTGTGTTAATTATAAACTGATACCCTGAAATGTGTACATTTTTAGGCATTCTTGACTTTTAGAGCTGTGTTGCTGAGATGCCATGTTCTGTGACTGTTTGAAGTCTCAACTTTTGAGTGCTCTGGGTTTCACAAGGCTCATATGTGGCCTCCATTTCCCCCCAGTCAGTTTGTTCTTTGATACTTGATCTGACAGACTTCATAGTCACTAATCTTTGATAAAATTTTGGAAAGTACTATCAGGGATTTATGTTTTTCTCTTGATGCTAAAAATATTTTTGCTTGGGCGAATCCTCAGATTCTTCTTAACACTGATACTTTCTTTTTGAGATATTTTGTCTTGCCTTATAACTAGTTGTAGATATCTGGTTGTTTCTACATAACCAGATGTATTCTTTGTGAGCTAGAAAATAAGAAGTTTGGATTTCTTTACTTATAATCAAATAACTATGTTTAGATGTTTACAGAATGCTTGCTATATTATAGCAATAACAAGAAAAACTATCACTTAAATTTGTATACTTACTTTGTGCCTGAAACCTTATTAAATGCTTTGTGTATGAAGTCGTTTAATACCTCACTTAAGCTGACTACATCCAGTTATCGGAAGTTAGGAGTCGGTGACAGATTGTACACTTTTTAGCAATTTCTTAGAATTAGTGTTTTTTAAAAATGAACAGGTTTTGATAGCTTTGAATATAATGTGTTTTTGCCATTTTTTCAGTTTAGTTCTCTATTTGTGCATGCAAATTGAGATTCTGATTGAAGCATTAGGGCTAAGAAAAAATATGAGGAAAATTAAAAATGAAAGAAAGATCACATACCTTAGGCAGCAAAACAGATTGCTGTGGCATATAGAAGATGTGCACTCGAAGTGATGTTTTTTCCTAGGCAACTCCTGAAGAAGATAGGAAAGTATGTGGTAGAGCAGTCAGTTACTACACTATTCACTTTTATTGTAGGCATTTTTAATGAAATACCTCCTGTGTGCTGTGTTAATCATTTAGCATACATTATCTTCATCCTACTGTCTCAAATCCTTATATCTCAAAGGCCTGCAAAAATACATAGTATCTCTGCTTCACAGGTGAAGATCCTGAGGCTTAGAGAGGTTAAGTTCACTTGGTTAATAAATGACAGACCTAGGATTTGAACCCAGATCTGTCTGTTTCTAAAATCTGTGTTGCTTATGGAGAGCCCTGAACTGGTTGTGTTACTATGCTGCCAGAATTTCTTTCCTTTTCTTTTTAAAACTTCCTTTTCATCAATTATTGCTTTGCATAAAAATGATACTTCCCTTCATCTTTTTATAAAGAAATCTCTTTCTGGGAAACAACTAGAAATACAATTAAATTACAGGACATGGTGGTTAAAAGTTGTCATAGTTGAATACATATAGCCTATGCTGTCATTGTATAGTCATAAGTGATATCATAAACGATTTGATTTATAGGAGGCAGAAAATAAACTTATTTTGTCCATTTTGGGTTAATACACTGGATAAAATTGTAAGAAAAATCTTAATGAGGTTGCAGTAGATGTTACCCGTTTTTAAGATGGGCTTTGTAAGGAAAAGTAAAAGAAATTTGACCAGAGGATTTTTTTTAAGGAAAAACAGAACAGAAATAGCGAACAGACCCTGACAAATTACTAAATTACATATCAGAAATTTTGAACTGTATATACTAACAATGGTTCTCATCATTTGCGGCAGAGGTCTCAGACTGAAATGTCTACCAGTGAATGTGGGCTTAGTGTAGCCCAGTCAAGTGTAGTGTGGATTATGGCAGACTGCTTGATCAAATTGGGTAGCTCCTCCACTCGACTCAATTGTTTAGATAGGAAATTTAAGCCCACTCTTAACAGATCTCTTCAGAAATTTGCATTAAAAGATGAAACACTTTGTAAGCAATAGTGAAAATTCAAATTAAAAAAGCCCAACTGATGTACAGGCCAAATGAATAAAACCTCTCTAGGTCAAATTTGACCCGTGTACCACCATTTTGCAGCCTCTGGTATAAGGAATGTTGAACAAAGCAAGAAAGCTTTTGATTAGAACAGAAAAACATGAGATCCTAGAGTGGACTGTTGAGACAGGCTATAAAGTCTGTCTGGAGATCTTTAAAAGTTTATAATTATCTGTAGGTCTTGGGACTAATCAGTTACTCCCTAAAGAGAGAGTTATTCAGGAGGTCCTCTGTGGGCACTGTGTAGGCTTTAAGGACAAGTTGTTTAGATCTTTTTATTTTCTTCACCATTGTTAATTGTAGTCATCTAGGAAAGTAGTAGAAATGCCTATATGCAATGGAAATTTTGTCTTATTTGTTTACAGGGAACAGAAAGAACAGCTTCAGAAGATGAAAGACTTTGGATCTGAGCCACAGATGCCTGACCATCTACCACCCCCAGAACCACCAAGATTGCAGAATACAGCTATTAGACCTGGAATGTATCCGGTATGAGAAAATCTATGTTAAGGAAATCAGTGATTTCTCCTCTTTTTGTATGCTGTTTGATTTTTTAAAAACAGTGCAACAATTATCAGTTTCCTCTATTTTAAAAAAATAATTTAATTTTGGAAAAGTGAAAAGTTTGAGTTTGTAGTCATCTTTGAAAATCATATAAAGTTGCCTAAAAAAAATGCTCATTTCCCCCAGGTTTTAGTAAATATACCAACCACACCGGAACTACATGGCTTCATATTCGTAAGATTGTAGAATTTTCCTGGTAATCCTTTACGTTCAGCTCTTCTGTTTCCTACCTAGTCTGAGAACTCCCACGTGCTGTGTGTGTGAGCTTCATAGGGTGCTCACCTCTTCAGACAGGACCCATCATCACAACCCAAGTCTTAGCATTCAGGGTGAAGAATGATTCATTTAATTACTTGAAGGATTAGGTTCTTCCTTTGTTTTACCTTTAAGGCAATGATAGGATTACAAATTGTTACACAAATAGCCTTATCACAGCACAAAAAGAATACAGAAAATACTTCTTAAACCATTTCATATAGTTACCTGTTTTCATTTCTCAATGTTCTTCTCCATCCAGGTCTAGCAGGTGACAAACATAGTTGATAAATACAAATACTCTCTTGTTAACGGATTCCAAAAAGTCTTTTTCTGGACTTATATGTACATCTGCCAACAAGATTTCTCTCTGTGGACCTGATTCCTCCTGTGAAGTCCATCACATGTAAAATGGAGCTCATTATCTCCACCATTACATTTCTTTTGGTTCTTACCCAGTCATCCTAAGTAAAAACCTGAAAGTCAGCCATACCTCTTTCCTGTCTTACTCTTCCATAACCCTCTAAACTGTTCTGCTGATTGATTTTACTACATTTGTAATATAGGCAACTTTTCTATTCTCAAGAAGCCCTGATAGCTCAACAAGCTAACAGAAGGCTTTGCAATTCAAACCCAGCCAGCATCTCCTTGGGACCTTATCCCCTTCCATAAAGATTACAGACAGGAAAACCCAGTGAGCAGTTCTGCTCTGTCATATGAGGTATGTGAGTGGAAGTCAGATTTAAGGCACTTAGCAATTCTATCTTCACCACAATCTTACTTCTAGTCTTCATCAATTCTTGTCTGTCTAGATTATTCTAGAAATGTAGTAATTCCTCTTTGATCCATTTTGCTCTTGGAGTATTTTATTTTCTTGAATCCTCTTTCTTGGGGTATAAGTTGTATGCAACAACGTGCACCAATTTCAAACCTACAGTTTGAGGTTTAACAAATAATTGTTGAAAGTTAAAGAAACTCATTACACCAAAAAGCTTCTTATGTCTCTTTGTAGTCAGGACCAAGACCATTGTATAAGCAGCACTAATGTGATTTCTGGCTCAAATGGGTGATAATAAAAACCTCATTGTGTTGTTCCCTGGCCTTAAATTCATTCAGTGGTTCCCTGTTGCTTTATGCATAAAATTGAGACGTTTACATGACTTTTTATGTTCCTCTTGAGCTAGCCTGATCTTTGCTTATCAATACCTGTTACTCTCCCTGCATGTGGAGTTACTTTTAAGTTATGTGAACATAGGAGACTCTTTTCTTGCCCTCTCTGATACTGCGTTATGCGTTTTCTCTGAAACAGAGATTTCGCTTTTCCCCCTTCTCCATCTCTTACATGGTTAATTCTTGTACATCTTTTAGAGCTCAGCTCTACCTCTTCCACTTGTGTGAAATGTCTGCTCTCCTGTTTGCCTCTATCACGCCTTATACTGGATTGATATGGAATACCACTATCTTTCTTTTCATATTGTATTTTGACTGTTCTCTTTCCTTCTAAAGAAACTTAAAAGAGAGCAACAATGTCTTTTATCTTTGTATCTAGTGAATAGTAGGATCCTGAATCACAGATCTACCTTCTTTATTTACTTATAAATCATAACACTGTCTGATATTTCTGTGGTCTCCATAATGCATTATTTTAAACACACAATAATTTACTAAACAGCTCCATTTTTGTTAGACCTTTCTTTCCAGTCTTTTAATTATTAACAACTATAATGAGTATTTTTGTATCTGTTTTTTTTATAACTACTTAAGTTTTCATTCCTTGAAGAGAATTCTTGAATCAAAGAATAAGAGCATTAAAAAATAATTATTATTCTTGTAATGTAGCTCACCATTCTCTAAAACAGTTCTATAACACCTGTACAGTCTTACACATATTGGCTAAGTAGCTTTTGTTGTTGCTAAATTTATTTTAACAAAATATTCCAGTATGCTTTTTCTTTAGTTCAACCATTTGTTTTGTGTAACTGCTAAAGACATTTGCAAATTGTAATTTAGTTACTTGGGTTCTTGAACATTTGCCTATGTTTTTCTTAGAATGCATTTTTGATAATAAATATGCTTGAATATTTTCTATGTTTAATTATATTTCATCTTTTAGAAAATTATGTTGTTTCTCGTTTAAATTCTGTTATTATTCTTTAAGCTCCTAAGGGCTTTTTTTTTAACAATTTATATAATATGGAAGGTTAACACAATAACTGGGGTAAGGAGAGTAGGTGTGTCAGAGACAGTGAGATTGCCTCAGGATAGAGCAGCGTTCATGCTATTGTGCATAGGGTCATAGTCAACTAGACAGCACATACCAACAGCACCCAACCCCTTGTAAATACTACAGGATTTTTTTGTGAGTTGGGTTTTTTGTGTTTTTGGTGTTGTTTTTTTAAAAAAATTAATCTTTTGCCCTCACTGTATAATATGAAGAAAATATTCTTTATCTGTAGTCTAAAATGTTAGGCTGTTGAAACTGTGCCTGGATAGCCAGGCTCCAAAGAAAATAGATAGCTTTGTGTATACAGGCACTTTCTTAACAAAGTTAAAAATGCCATAGCCTAATAAAAATTTTACTTTTACTTGAGAGCATCCATTTTTCTTTCATTCTAGCCTTTGGTCTGTGGGTTGCAAGTGACTTGTCAGCATATAACAACAACATAATAGCCTTTGTTGGTTCAGCTGTAAAATTCTTAGCTGCAAAGCAGAAGACCCGAATTAGATTCCTGGTCTATGCACTTTATGAGCAGCTACCTCTTAAATCTTGTTATTGTTGGAGGTTTGCATGTTGCTGTGATGCTGGCCAACTTTCAGCAGAGCTACTTGACTAAAAGGACCAGGAGGAAAGACCTGGCAGTTTGTTCTTAAAATTAGCAAATGAAAGCCTTTGTTGTTGTTAAGCATCATTGAGTCACCTGTGACTCATAGCAATCCTTTGCTCAATAGCTCTGATCCTATCTCACTGTCTCTTGACACACCTAACCTCATTACCTCGTTACTGTGTCAATCCATCTTATCCAGGGTCTTCCTCTCCTGTACTGTCCCTCAACCCTTCCAAGCATGATATCCTTCTCCAAAGACAGTCTCCCAAAGTATGTGAATTTGGGTTCTCAAAATCCTTGCCTCCCATTGAAATCTATGGGAGAGAGAATAGTCTAAAAGTATTATATTTTAGGGCATTATTTTTATCGTAGGA